GATACCCCGCCAACATGGCTTCCATGATCGATATCCAGCGCGACCGTAAATTGACACCACGGAACTCCTGAGGAACACGTGCTGATAGGCCACATAGTCATTCTCAACTCGATCAAGCAGACCACGCGCGGCGACGTATGAAGCTCCCCCCAGTGCGCCCGCACTACGCTAACGGCTACCGCGCAGTGGAAGATACTCATTGTGGACGAGGACAGCCAGAAGCTCATCAACAACGTGGTCAAGGAAGATGACATCCTCAACCTCAACATCACAAGTACGCGACTCCGCACGCTCCCAAGACGCCAGATCCTAACCTCGCAGACATCGAGCGCATCGAGGACCGGCGGCAGACGATCCGCGACATGGACGCCGTGTACATCATCACGCCCAAGCCACACATTGTCGACTGCATGATGGCCGAGTTCGACCAGCGCAGATACCGCGGCTTCTTTCTGATATGGACAACGCTGCTCCCACCACACCTCAAGGAGCGCATAGACCGGTCGCAGATGGCGCGCGAGCAGATTCGGAGCTTCCGCACAGTGCACCTCGACTTCCACCCCCAGGAGTCGCACCTCGTCACCTTCAAAGACCCATGGAGCTTCCCCATCCTCTACCACCCCGAGTGCAACAACCTCGTAGTACGCCACATGGAGGATATCGCCGAAAGAGTGGGTAGTATACCTCTCCTGGCAAGCTTCTGCTGACAACCCTAGATCACCGGAATCTGCGTCGCACTCGGCGAATACCCCATCATCCGATACTACCGACCGCGAGCTCCAACCCACGAGGCCAGCGTCTTGTGCTCACACCTAGCCCGCTTCGTCCAAGACAAGCTCGACATGTACGCGCAGTTCAACCAAGACTTCCCCCCGCAATCGAACCGACCCCGCGGTGCCCTCTACATCACCGATCGATCCATGGACCTCATGGCACCCTTCCTCCACGAGTTCACATACCAAGCAATGGCCATGGATCTGTTGCCTATACAAGACAGCGACAAGGTGACCTACCGCACCATTGTCAACGAAGAGGACCCCGAGGCGGAGGAGAAAGACATGGAGATATCCGACAAGGACAAGATATGGGTTGAAAACCGCCATCGGCACATGAAGGACACTCTCGACAAGCTGATCAGCGACTTCCAAAAGTTCATCGCCGACAACCCCCATTTCACAAACCAAGACGCCCAAAACGCTGCTGGCATGAACGGACTGAACGCAATCAAGGATATGATCGCTGGTTTGCCCCAGTTCCAAGAGATGAAGGAAGCTTACTCGCTACATCTCACCATGGCGCAGAAGTGCATGGAGATCTTCCAGAAGCACAAGCTCCCGGATCTGGCTTCAGTGGAACAGGTGAGTTCTAGTGAGGCTAGGTCACGACTGTCGCTAACTTCTTCAGTGCCTTGCTACCGGTCTTGACGAAGACTACCGTAAGCCCAAGAACATGACTGACCAGATTGTGCGCACATTGGACGACGAAGAGATCACGCCAGCTGACCGGCTACGCCTTATCGCGCTCTACGTAATCTTTAAGAACGGAATACTACCAGCCGACCTCCAGAAGCTCCTCTTCCACGCACAACTGCCTCCTCCCGACGGCGACGTTATCCGTAACCTTGACCTCCTTGGCGCGCGAGTCGCCAGACAACTAAAAGAGAAGAGAGATGCACAGCCACCACTCTTCCCACCGAAAGCAGCTCCACCTCCAAATACTGAGGACTACGGTCTATCGAGATTCAACCCGGCGCTCCAGGACATGCTAGAGGAGCACATCCGCGGCAGCTTACCCCAGGACGTCTTTCCATTCACTAAGATGTCACCCGATGATGTCGCCAGCATGGCACAGGAAAATACTGCACCCGCCTCCCTCCGCTCCGCGAAACCGACGTGGGCCAAATCGCGGCTTGCGAGTGCGGAGCCCCGTCAACGCGTGATTGTATTTGTCGCCGGTGGTGCAACCTACTCCGAGGCCCGCGCTTGCTACGATGTTTCGAACAAGACCTCGAGAGACGTTTTCCTTGTCACCTCCCACATGATGAAGCCGCAGCTCTTCCTCCGCCAAGTCGGCGATCTCAGTCAAAACCGCCGCAGTCTGCGCTTACCCATCGATCAACCGCAGCCTATAGCCCCAGCACATCTGTTCGAGAAGCCTGAACCTCCGAAGCCAGCACCACCGCCTGCTGGTACAAAGCCTCCCATGGCCGGGGGCTTGCCGTCCGGACCCAGAGTCGCTGGCCCGAAACCCCCAACAGCAGCCATGGGTGCCATCAACCTCAATTCCAACCCGCAAAAACACAGTCCTTCGCCGTCGCAGAGCAGTACCACGAAGCCCGGCAAAGAAGAGAAAGAAGGCAAAGAGAAGAAGAAGAAGAAGTTGCATCTATTTTCTTCAAAGCATTAGTGAGGCTCGTTAACATTTCCTGCCAGGGCGCTGCATACCTTTCTGGCGTTGTTCTGCTTTGTTCACAGCGAGGAGTGATTTTGCTTCATTTGCAATATTTGCGAGCTAACTTGCATGGCATGGCGTTGGATGGCGTCTGAGAATCTCACCTGGCGATTGCCCAAGGTGTACAGCTAGAGACAAGTATTTGGGATTTTGCCGTTGGGGAATAGACGTAAGGCTGGTTGCCTCTACAATAAAACATAAGAAACAAATTTACAAAGATTATACATCATATCATCACTTCAGCCTTGCTGTCTTTCCTGGCTGATTAGAACGTGCCACATCATTTCAACCTACGTACCCGACTTCCCTTCTTCCTCGGTATCGGACAGCTCAGGGCCACACTCCTCGCTCTCATCTCCTCCCATCTCTCATTCCCCTCCGACTAGTACGCCCATTTAGTCGAGTAGTCCCTCGGACTAACAACAAGCCCCTTCCCTTTACTCGCACCCCTATACACAGCCTCCAATATATCAATCAGCTCCTGCTTCGTCCCAATCGGAAAGTTGATCTTGTTATTATTGCCCGTGCCAAAGTCAACCTGCATATGCTTGTTTCGCCAGAAGAACATGACGGTGCAGGGATCGTAGATTTCGTACATGGCGTTGAAGTCGGGGACTTGCTGGTGGGGTGGGCGTGTTAGCTTGGTTTGGAGATGACAGGGCAGGTAGGGAAGGTGAGAGGGTAGAGGAAAGGAGGGAAGGAGGGAAGGAAGGAGGGAAGGAAAGTACCTTATTGTCGACTACATAGATGACAACCCAGTCTTTGACTGCGTCCACAATCTTGTATAGCATCTCGTCCATCTCCATGCATTCGGGTGTGTAGTCGGCGCCGAAACGGAGGCAGACTATGCGGGCTTCTTCGCTGAGCTGGTGGGTGTCAGTTTGGGTGTAGTGGAGGGTCGTATCTGGCATAATGGGTCTGGTGGAGTTGATGAGTGTAGGAAACGTACGATGGCTTGATCAACGTGCCATGCTGAGGGCAGGTGCTGCAGCATTACCGAACCCATGGTGGTGAGATTTAATTGACTGTGATTCTCGGAGATGTATAAAGGGCAGAATGAGAAAGGTCTTGAACAGGCCTTGTGCGAAACAGGTGAGAGAAAGGCTGAGGAAAGCACGATCTGATAGACCCCATCACATGCCCCATCAACCTCCGTTTGCACCTTCCAAACCTCGTTTGCTCTCAGCTGCAGACATCCCCACCTGCACCTTCCCAAAAAGCTCTTTCCATGAACAACCACAAATCATTCGCTAGAACAAGGAAACCACATGCCATAACTCATCATCAGTACAAACAAAACAAACCCAATCTCGCACCACCACCCTAATCCCTCACCCCACCCGAATAATACTCCCCCACACTCCTCTCCGGCGCATAATATCCCGCACCCGTCCGCTGCTCCAAACTCCCCGTCCGCTTCGCCACCATCTCCTGCACAAAAGCCTCGTAGCTCTCGTACGGCCGCCCGCCCTCCTGTGGATGTCTTGCCGCCCAAGCCAGGAACGCGGCTTTCTGTTCTTCAGCCGCCTGTTGCTGTTGTTCCAACGACAATTTCTGCTTCTTCGCTTTCTTGCCTGTGACAGCGGGCTGTGGGCGGCCGGTCACGGGGTTGCGACCGGCTGCCTCGCGCGCTTCGGCTAGGAGGTCGCTGCTCGTGGGTTCGTTTGCGCGCTGTTGGTTTCCGGTCACGGGGTCACGGCCAGCTGCTTGACGGGCTTCGGCTAGGAATTCACTGTTTGGGGCCGGGGTTTTTGGAGCGGTGTATTTTGTCTGGTATGGATTCGATTTCCCGCGGAGCTTGTTGATAGGGGAAAGGAGTGCTGATGTGATGGAGAGACCCGCCATGCTGCTGTTGACGGGAAGGAAGTAAGCCTTCACGCCTTTGCGACTTTCTTGTCTAGTTGCTTTGGGTATCGAAATCTGGATCGAAACCTCTCAGAAGCTGCCCTCGTAGTCTTGAGAATGCCGGTGCGGGTTGCTGATGAATATTTACGAAGAGACGTGGTCGCCAAGCGTTCTTTGTACTGCAGGTTGGCGTCGAATTTGAGACTATACTGCACGTTCCCAACTCTTTTGAACAAAATTATCCGACACTACTCTATACATGCAGTTGTCTGAGACAGGAACACAACCTGGTTGGAGCCTAGGAAGTGTCAGGGGTCTGGGCGGTAAGGCCCCCAAGCTAACCGCATTGAGGGCCAGCAATGAAGAACCGGTCAAGTGCCAATATGTTCAGTCGTACCGATCAGGTGCGGATGTCAAAATTGAAGTAGGTGTATATTTGGACAGCGAAAGCAACGAGCTACTAGAAATAGCCTATGACTATGCTCTCATCTTGCGCAAGGTACAAGAGCTCCCGCCGTCCCGATATTGAAACCCGACCGGCAAGATCGGGGCGCAACGCTACACCCGAGGCAATACTGACCATCGGTGTACCGTACGAAGAATCGAACAAACGTGAGAATCCAAATGTATTAAGCGTGAGACCGCTGAAAAGAAAGGTGAATAGCAAAGACGCCCAAGACAAGCTGAACAGTCGGCCAACCAAATTACCACATTCTCCCTTTACCCTTACTGCCAGCTGCTGGACTGAGCGGCGGGAACGCATCCTCGGCATCCTTTCGACTCTGCTCTTCAGCAAGACTCAGTTGCATAGCAAACTCCAAATCTGACAGCTCGCTTCCATTACTTGATCCAGCAGCAGCCTTACCCTTCCTGGGCGTGCTCTTCTGGGAGCGGGATGACGGAGACTTTTTGCTCTTGGCGTACTTGATCGGAATCCCGAACGCAGAAGGAGGCGTAGAGGCGGGTTCATAGTTGCCAGCTCCGGAGCTATCGTTGAGAGAAAGACGGATGGCTTCGGCGATGTCGGCATCGAGTTCGTCGTCGTCCTTGGTATCAGGCGATGAAGGTTGGCCCTGGACGCTCGCCTCTGGCGTTACAGGCTCACTCTTAAGGGCACTGCTCTCGCGCTCGATGCGGCGTAGTTCGTCTGCCTCGGCAGCCTCTTGCGAAAGCATTGCAGCGTATGCTAGAGCCTCCTCTTCGCTTAGTAGCTCCGTGCCAAAACGGCCTGCCAAACGCTCGGCCTGCTTGTGACGCTCTTGTCTATCACGCTCCAACTCGAACTGTTCGTTGGCAATGTAGTTCTTCAGGTTGACTCTGCCTGTACCGGCGAAGCGCTCTGTGGTATTGTTACTTCCACGCTCGGCTCTTCGCAGCCTGCGTTTACTGCTTCTATACTGATCGGCTGCAGATGAGCTGTAACTCCAGAATCGAAGCTGATTGCCAAGAGACACTGCACCGCGCAAGACGGTCGGATCGGGATCAAGACATACAGCACCAGCAGCAAACATGTTGATGCCGACTCCTTGAACGGAAGCCTGGGCCTGCACAAGCTGTCTACGAGCACGCGACGCATGTCGGGAGTGAAGCGTTGTTATGGGCGACATGCTCGAAGCCAGTGGATCCCATGCCTGTACCAAGCCGTCGTTTCCACCTGCTACGAGATAGAGTGAAGTGACAGCCACGCAGGATATCTCTGGCGAGTCGGTGTAGATGACACGAACAGGCTCAATATCATTTGTGTACTCCGACGAGCGCGACGTAGGCGCCCGGACATCCCAAACCAGCACCACGCCAGACTTGGTACCAGCGGCGAGGAACCTTGCGCGCTGTCCAGGAATGTCAGAGGGAGAGGCCGGCTGGCTTGCAACAGACATCGGAGAAGAGTAAGGCGAGGATGCAGTCGAGGCAGTCGAGAAACCAAGCGCAGGGTCCTCAAACAAGGTCAAAGTCGCGAAGGTAGAGACGTCCAAAGCAGTTGTAGTGACTTGAGTGCTCTTGAACCCGCCGAACGTAAGCTTTGAGCACCTCCATTCTTCGAACAGAGCGGCTCGTTCTGGTGAACTTGTGGACGAGATGTAGGAAGAGCTGCGACCACGAGGAGGCTTTGTAAGATCTGCGCCAGGACCGCCGAATAAAGATGTAGCTTGCGCAGGCTGAGGCGTGAAAATGCGAGTTGAGACATTCGTACTCTTGTCCTTTTCGTCAATCTTACATCGGGTGAAGCGTTTAACGTCGGCGACGTCTCCCTCTTCAAGTCCGCATTCGAAGACCACTACGGATTCCCCAGCATGATTTCCATCGTCTCCAGCAAAGTCAACCTCGAGCGTTCGTCGCATATCCCATCCAAGACATGCTTTTCGGAAATGTTTCGGCTGCTTGCGAAGATATTCTTGGATCTCCCTTGTTTCAGCGATGATCTGATCCTTGCTTAAGCACATGCCATCCCATGATGTTCGCGGCGAATAACTACCGTCGACATCGGCATCGCTATACGGGTCAGGCCTCGCAGTACGTCGGCTGGGCTCCACCAAGTTCCAGTAGACGGTGCGGCCAGTGAGCCAACCCAGATACTCGGAGTAGTGCTCAATGTCGCCTTTCGTGGCCTGGCTGCGAGTTGGAAATTTGGTGAGGTAGAAGATCTCGCCAAGTGCATTCAGAGCGACCGCCCAAATGCGGTTCTGAGCATAGCGCTTGGTTGAGTATTGTTCGTCGACGGCGATGGCAATGATAGGTACTCCTGGGCTGAGAACCCAGCGCGCAGTCAGCTCCCCACGCTGTACACGGGACGAGCGAAGACCATCTGTACCGATGCTACAGGCACTGACGACACCAGCCGCAGATCCCATCATCATGCCTATCAAGCCATCCGAAAGGGTCGGGATCGTGTTTGACTTGGCGATCCAAACGCTGCAGATAGCACCGCCGTCGATGCCTAGCTTTGGTATACCAAATTCAGGCATAGCAAAGTCGGTGGGTTCAGCTATGAATCGACCACGCATCTCCTCAAGGGAGCGGTAATAACACGAGCCCTCGGGACAGCCCTGGCCATAGATCATGCCGTATGGCTGCGATATGTCCATGACATTGGGTCGCCCGACGACCTCTCCTGAGCCCAGACCCCACTCTGCGGTACCCGGAAAGCGTTCTGAGAATTGGCCATAGAAATGAGGGTCGCTCTGTCCCCAAGGATCCACTTTGCCAGTCATCGGATCGCTGCTGGTCACCATGCCGATATCGTCTGCACCATGGATGAAACGCGGCATCTTCTTATTCAAACCCGATCCAAATGTGGCCTGCAGATGATTGATGATGGTATACGTTTTCGCATCGTAGGTAATCATCGGGGTGATGGTCTGCATTTGAGATGCGCGGGACGGTGTCGCAGGTACCTGTACAGGCTTGCCCCTGACCAAAGACCGCAATAGTCTCGTGCGTAGAATGTACTCGCTTCTCCACGATGCCAGCGCAGTGAGCCTGGTGAAGCGTCTCTTCTCTGATCGCACGACTGAGCCACTGCCCTCAAGGGCTGAACGAAAGGCGGCATCTTCGAGTGAGTGTGGGCCAGGGAAGTAGCGACCGAATGCCACCTGCCAGGCGTGTGGGGTAGTGACTACATCATGAAAGCGGCGAGAGACAAGGGATACGGCGGCGAGGTCGTTCGGTGACAGGTGGGCGATAGCATGGATCAGAACCTCTACGCATCGTCAGCTCTTACTCGTGCATTCGCGTTCCGCCCGTTCTCGAGGCATTTGTACACACCATTAGGCAGGTTCGCGATGGGCGAGCTCTTATCGCTAGGCTTCTTGTTACTCTTGACGATCTCGAAGAGGGGCCCGTCGGCAGGCTTTCGCGGTGAAGACTTCAGCGCATTCTCGTATTCGGTGATCCTGTCCCTCGGAGGTGGTGAGGGAGACGCGACGCGCTTCAGTCCATCTGTTTCCACGGTCCCGACTGTATCCTCGGCCTCTGAACGCGTCGCATCGCGTGCGAACCCGCGGGGTTGTGGTCCAGACTCTCCCCGCACCTCACCTGAGTGAGGCTGCAGAGAGACCTGGAAGTCAAGGCTGCGGCGCTGTCCATGCTGGGAGGTGGTGGCGGTGTCGAAAGAGGTTTGCTGGTACGAAACGTTTTGTGATGCGTTGATGGGCTCTGGCTGCATAAAATTTTGGGTCTGGTTCTTGGGTGAGGGCAATCGACCGAGCTCGTTGGAAATGCTCAGTCAGAGGATGGAGGCGTGGGCGAAATTTGGGTAGTTTGGTAACGTTGGAGTGGAAGGGAGTTCGGGGGGTGCAGTTGATGACTCGGTTTGCGTTGCCAAGTCGGCGGTGATCGATATGACGATCGCCACTTAGGAAGCTACGAACGTGGGGGGAACAAATGATACTAACAGTTTGCAGCGGTGGGCCGACTATCACATGGCGTGTAGAAACGTCACCACTATCTAGGTGCGGCCTAAGTACCTGAATGTAGCCGGCCTCGTTCCGATAAGTTCCGAAGCAACAGGTGCCTTGCCGTCTACATTAGTGTAAAAGTGAAAGTCGGCGATATCCCGATGGTAATGTAGACTCCTACGAAGTCAACTTCGATCGATTCCTGTATAACGTGCTATCATATACAGGATCATGCAAACAAATGATCAACGCCAGCCCTATGCAGACCCCTAGATTCTCAAGGCACGAAAAGACGCGAGTATGCAGCCACATTAGTCCTGCAACAAACACACGCCGTGTAGTTCTTCGAAGCCAACCCCACCCGACAATCGTCGCACAGGCTCAAGCAACCACATGGCCACACCAGTACTGTCCTTGGCGACATCTGGCAAACTACACATTGCGGTCCTTCTGAGCCCATACCTTCTGCACCCGTGTCCCAGCTTCCAGCTGTACTTGCGCCTTGCGGGGCTGTTGCGCTTCGACGACTGAGGATTAGATCTTCCAGAAGCTGCTCTTCTTCTTCAGGCGTCATATTGACGCCGCCGCTCATCTTGTAGCGTGACGTTGTGAGGATCTTCGCCTCTTCGCGCTCAAGAGCTTTGCGGTACTGCGAGCGTGTCATGATATTGGAGCTCTGGAGGTGGCGAGACAGCAGCTTGGCTTCTTCGCGATCCTCACTAGATTTCGGATCCAGAAGTTGAGAGAGTCTCGAGAAGTCCATTGCGTCGTCAGGGATGGGTGTTGCTTCCCGACTTCTCTGGTAGGTTGCACGCGTAGGTGTTCTTTGACCGTCATCCATGTCTGACCACTCGTCGTTGTCTGTTGTGGTAGCAAATGACACTACACTAGTCGTGTCATCATCTTGCGAGTCAACATAGTCTCTGGTGTTGTCAACGTCATTCCATAGGCTACCGTTGCGCCACCAAGAGTACAGGTAGTCGTCAAGACGTTCTTCAGAATCTTCCCCGTTGGGTCCCGAATAGAACCCACTCTGTCGGAGCCTCTCCTTCGCAAAGACTTCAACGTCAAAATTCCGGTCCTGGCGAATTCGAGACCGGTCATCTGTGGTAAGCCATGATTCTCTTGCCAACGCTTGATCAGGGTGTCGCGGAGCATACATCTTATCAACATGATCAGCGTGGAACCCAACAGCGCGTTGTAGCCATCTTGGTCGATAGCTGATCGAGATCTTAGTCAACGCCCAGTCTGTGATCCTTGCGAGACTAAGTATAATCAACTTTGATATACGGAAGAAGAACTGATAGGTCTGCAAGTAGCGACTACGCTGTTGGATCGCAGGATCATTCTGTCCAATGGCTGGTTCAGTGGATGCCTGTACTCCTCGCGTTTTACGTTCTTTTGCATAACCTGACAGTGATGTATCCGTTCTGACATCGTTAAGTTCGTCAACTACCTCGATGCCTTGCGCGAATGTGTCGTTCCTGAGCTCGGACGGGATGTCGGTTATCATTTCTCGTGTTCTTCTTCGCCGAGCGAGCAGTTCCTGCAGCCTCTGCTTTTCGAGCCAGGTCATTGGGTGCACATTGACCTTAGTTCCTTCGTTGAGAAACACGGCTTCACTGGCGGATGTCAAAATGACGTAGCCTACCTTGAGTATAGTTGTATAAAAGTCTTCGTGCCAATTAATAGTCAAAGGCGTAATCGAAGACAGATGAATGTTGGCATGTAGATTGCCGTAAGCGGATGCGAATCTCTCTCTCAGAGACAAGTTGTTGGCGTGTCCTGCAGGTGGAGATAGTACGGTGATGATGAAGGCCAGCAGGTAGATTAGTGCGCATATCGCGATGCCCACAAGTATCAGCAAGTGCGGGATGAATCCAATGATGCATACAGTAGGAAATCTCAGGATCCCCACATAGTGGTCTGGATCAGTGACCATAGTTGCCAGACGAACACAGCTCCATGCGAAAGCTGACATGTAGGCAAGTCCGCAGATTGTTGTCGTGACGAGTCGCCATCTAGAGCGCACTCCGGCGATTGCTAACAGGTTGCTCATGAAGTGGCTGAAACTAGAGATGAGAGAAATCAACAGGACTTCCGGTGGTACATTGGCGATCTTGGAGAGCTTCGACCTCGGAATCGTGAAGGATGTGCCATCTGGAGTGAAGACAGACTTCGGTTTAAAGAAGCGTACGGAATCGACCGCTAGCGGCTTGGTGACGACAGCCTCAGCCTCTGCAAATGCGAGCGAATGTTCGAAGATGGTCATTCCGACTTCCTGAATCGGGCGTCTTCCTTGCAAGGCGCAGGCCAAGGTATCAACGAACTGGCCAAATCCAAGTGTCACAAACATGGGCCATAGAAGCGATAGCGATCCAGAAGGCCGCGTGGTCGCCGGGCCGATGGGCAACATATTCGCAGCTCGACATGAGCTCTCTGTAGTCTCCCAGAAGAGTATCTTTGACGTGACCTGCCATAGGAAGCCGCCTTCGCCACCGAAGTCTGTGTCCAGTTGCCTACCATCCGCTCCGTACTGCATCTCTGACCAACCCGGGGAGGTTTGACAGCGTATCGCCCGTAGAGTGTTCTGCGTCTGATAGAGGAAGAGGATCAAGGGCATGATGTAGAGGGCGAAACGAAGGTAGAGGCGGTCGAAGGAAAGTGGAACGCGGCTGTTGGCGTAGAAGTGGGTTCTGTTCAGCACGATTGCCTGCGACGTCAAATCAGCAAAAGGTAGTAGTCGTACTCATGGGAGCAGATGCTCACCAGGGCGAATGTTGCGACGGCCCATTTGGAGGTGATGTAGCTGAACCAGGCGGCTACGTTCCTCAAAGCTTGCCACACGGTCATCTCGCCCTCGGTCGAAATCGCAGAAGCCGCTGCAGCGATGGATTCCTGTACAAAGCCCGAGCCCGTAGTCGTCATGGTGCTGTTTGTCATGTTGGCCGTAGGTTCCGCGATAACGCTTCCACCCGAGCGCATCATGTCGCCGAGAGAACTGGCCTTGGAGAAAAGGCGCGGTAATGCCATGAGTAAGTCTGCTGGCGACGGCAAGAAGGAAGTCGCGTTGGCAGACGCGCCTGGCGTCTCCATTGCGGCGGTTGCGGATATCCGAGGATGGGTCGGCAGGCAGAACTATTCGAAGTCTTGATTAAATCCAGTGATTATTGAAGCAGATACATGGCGACTGTGAAGACAGATGCAGTTCACAGCGATAGTTGGGTCAAGCGTCTTGAGCTTGCGCGACGATGTAAGGGTGCTGTGGACTTGGTGCGGAAGTCGACCGTGGAATCCTTGGAATGACGCGACCCCCGAGCCGTCGGGCTGCAGCTGCATAGGTAAACCTCCGAGGTATACTGACGTGCGCCACACCCCAATGGTACACGATTTTACAGATGATCACGACTGCTATTCAACAAATGCACAAGTGTCATAATGCCATGACGGATGTCTACGATGTGCCTACGTCGTTGAACCAGGCATACTTGAGTAGTCGGATGATGCATTTCCACGTCCGCTATATTTCAACGCCCATGATGCTAGGGTATGGTACAATCATATGTCTACACTCCACCGCAATATCCATCTATGCCGTCTTGGGCTTCTTCGTTCCGTACTTTGACCGTGAAGTGATCCTGCTACCGACACCACCCTGCAGAGTGTTAGCGATGTCTTTCCATGATGTTTGTGCTTATGGGACTTACCAGATCCAATGCTCCTCGAACCAAATGGTACTTCACACCAGGGCAATCTTGCGCTCGTCCGCCTCGTACCATGACAACTGAATGCTGTTGTACATTGTGACCTGCGTACTGGTCAGTCTCCCCGTAGCTTACCACTCCCATGTATTTGTCATACCCTCTCCCGGAATATACGCCGTGATAACCTTGCCCGTACTCAGTCTGACCCTTGCAATCTTTCGCTCGCCCGAGTTGGGTTTCTTCGGCTTCGTCGTTCCCACTTTCAGACACACGCCCTTCAGCTCCGGCCTGTCCTTCAATTGTGGCGATCGCAGTTTACGCGCCTTCCGCGCTATCCTCCCCTGTCGCAGGACTTGTATTAATGTGCATTTGTGTGCGCGCGACGACGGTGTTGGGCGGGCTGCGAAGGCCGGGGTACTGTTCTGGAAAGCGGAGGCGGCGATTGATGGCCGTGTTGATCGCGCCGGAGCGAAAGCAACTGCGGAGAAGATCGAGGGTCGCGCAAGCCGTCGGAAGAGTGTGAGAGGCATTATGGGCGGGCGCTGGGGTGTGGCTCGAGATGTTGGTTCTGGACAAAAGTTCGAGATGCAAGATGGTGGCTGACTCAGCTGGGATGGTTCGTTGCAGGCCGCCTGCCCAGCGGTACAGACTGCGCACCATCAGAGAATGACATTTTCTGTTGACTCAATGCATGTGCAGTGCTGATGATAACAAGTCAACGTGACATAATACTGTGCATCTCTAAGAAGACAGCATCCGGGTTACCATTCAATACAGCACGTATTTTGTTAATACCCAAGGTATAGCGATGGAATGAGGATATAGATCGCATGTCAAAGATCAATGCCCATGCGCGGGAGTGCATTACGAATAACAAACATATTCACCAAAGCACATATAGGGAGCTCTACAGTCAACTCTCTACCATTATCAGTCTCGCACTAGCTACATCACCACCTATTGCAACATTCCCACGTGTCTCTAGTACGGCTTCTTGGGCCTTGTAGACGATGAGAGCCTCATTTTAAGCGAGCACGTCGTTGCCACGCGTCTCCTGTCACTTTCATGACGGCTCGGGTGACCAGGAATGCAATCGTACATAGTGTATTCAGTGATGACTTCCAAATGTAACGCTGTGCTGAGATAGCGGTGGGAGCCAGGAGGAACAGTCCGCTTAGAGGAAGTAATCCGGGGTCCTTCGCGACACCATAGGCTCGCCTGCGCGTGGGCAAGGGTCGAATTGCAAGCTGGGACGTGTGTCAGATATTGAAAATAGCATATCGAGAGGGAAGGAACTTACAAGGTATACTTTAGATGCTCGTCGATCTCCATGATAGCGGCCTGGTTACCGCATCTGTAGCAGTAGTTCGGTGCTGTGCAAGGTCAGTCGGATCATCGGCAACGGAAATTTAAGAGACATACCCGAGAATATGGTAACGACATTCCTGTCTTGCGACCAATTATACCCCTCCATGACTAGCTGATGAGCACGTGCCACCAGCGTCAAACCGTTGTTGTGGTTGAAGGCCTCCGAGATGTCTTGACCGAAGGTGTATCCTGCACCACGGGGTGAGATTCCCCAGCCGCACCTGTCGTCTGGGTCGGACCAGAGCAGGTCGCACATTGGTCCTTCGTGAGGCACCTCCTGTATGCGGTCGAGCGCCCTGATGTTGTCAAGGGTGTCGATGCTAGGGGAGAGACCACCGTGCAGACAGAAGATCTGGTTGTCGATCAGGGCGGTAAGCGGCAGGTAGTCGAATAAGTCTGTGAAGTATTTCCAGACGTTGGCATTGCCGTACTTGCGGAGACACTCGTCGTAGAAGCCGTAGACTTGGGTGATCTGGCGGGACTCGTGGTTGCCACGGAGAATGGTGATGCGCTGGGGGTATCGAATCTTGAGTGCGACTAGGAGGGTGACAGTCTCGACGGAGAAGTAGCCTCTGTCGACATAGTCGCCTGTGCACGTCAGTCAGTATTAGCAGGCAGGGTTGAGGCAGGCAACGCACCCATGAAGAGGTAGTTGGTGTCCGGGTTGGGGCCACCGATCTTGAACAACTCCATCAAGTCGTGGAACTGGCCGTGTATATCACCGCAGACAGTGACGGGGCATTTCTATGCGACGGTGAGCAGACATCGCAGTCGCAGCAAAAAGGGTACGTACCACTGGCTGTACATTGGACTCGTCCTGAAGTACCTCGCGGGCCTGTAACACGATGCTTGTCAGAAAAGGCATCCCCGATGACAGTGTGCGCCAGGCGGGTGTCGCATACCTTGTCGCATAGTCTCTGCACGTCGCTCTCGGCCAGCTGCTTGCAGCTCATCAGACTCTCAATCCAGCCGTCCAGCGTGGGGATTGTGGTCGGCTCAGTCGTGGGGGCAGACGACAGCTGCATGGGCTCTGGCATCTTGACGTCCTCCATATTGGTATCCATGGTTGCGGGGCGGCGGGATCGATGTAGGTGGGGGGTCGATCGGTTGTTGTGATGTAGAGCTGCTGTCGAGGGGTTCTTGCCCTTTCAAACTCGACCAATGACGTGCAGCAGACACGAGTAGAGGCGGTGGGCGGTAGCGACTTGCAATCCGGAGGTCGTTGGAGTCGGAGGCTGTATGTGGCGTGCAAGGCGATATCGACGGCGGCAGCAGGATCTATGACAGGAATATGGGGAGAAGCACGACCACGCACTGCAGGCACATACTACCTTGGAAGCAGGCCGTAATGGTGGATTGTTTCTCCGCGCCGGGTACCAAGAGCCTCAGGCAATTTAGCGCGAACCGTTAGCCGCGGGTCTGTGCGCGGCCGCTACTGCGGGCAGCTTTGTGCAGCAGCCGCGACCCTCGTCCCTTCTCCACTCTACACCACTTCCACCACATTGTTGTCACTACTGCCCATCGCACCCACCACCGCGACAAGCAATACCAACAATGTCTAACAAGCGCGCTTATAGCGCCTACCTCTCCAGCGCATCTGCGGATATGCTAGTCGCTGCCAATGGCTTCGGCGCTCCCCAACTGCAGGTGAGTAGTCGTCGCTGCCTATACTGACGCGACGCGAGCTGACAGCAACGGCAGGCGCAGCAACACACCCCTTCCTCAATATCACATCTGCGTATCCCAGGCGGATGGCCACAAGATCACATCCTTGCCGCCGAGGAAGTCATACCTCCGCGCGCTTCTCTCTTCACCACGCTCGGCAAGTGGGCTGCGACCGTGAGCGTTGCCAACCTGCTCTCACTCCCCGCACGCCTTGCAAACCGCTATCTCCGCCGCGAGACTATCAAGGCGATCCCCATCATCTCCGCCACCGGCTCCAACAAGAAGCGCTTCATCTCCGCAGGTCTGGCAGACGAGGAATGCGCGACACCGTCGCCTTCAGTGCGCGCGCGCGCGAACCAGGCGCGTCGCGAACACCAAAGGCAGGCGCGCGCGTCAGAGCTAAGCCCCAACCAATTCCGCGTTCCGCCAATCCAATATACGTCATCAGCACATACACAAGAATTCGAGGAAATCGTGCCTGGAGCATACAATAGAGATGTATCTCTCGACGAGGGCGGCAACGTCAGCCTGGAAGACGACGAGGACCTTGAGGTCAGTGTAGACTTCTCTTTCGAGGATGTCTTCACTTCAACCCCGCCGCGCGACCCCCAGACCGGCTCTCCCATGACAATATTCTGGAACAGCCCTCAGGTCGCCTCACCCGCGGTTGCCTCGCCCGCAAGCCCGGTCTTGTCATCCCCACTATACCACTATGACCCGCCTGCCTACGACAATGCCAACCCGGCCTGGATCTCTGAGCTCCGCAATGCTTCAACTGCCCATGCCTCTTCAGGTCTTACGTTACCGTCGGCGCAAGCACTCTCCTCATCGCAAGCATCCGCAAGCCCAGCCCCCAATGGCAAGCGCACTTCCAACCTGCCTACGGTCACACCTCTGCGACGCCAACTGGTCAAGGCACAGATGTACAGGGAACGCAAGCGCATCGCAGGCCTCAATGCCGCGCTCGAGTCTACGGAGGAAGGTTTCGCCGATACCGAGCAAGCTAAGAACAGTTTCGCCGAGTCATTCAACCAGAACCCCTTCCACTCCACGCATGCTTGGTCATCAGCATCTCCATCACAACCAAAGACTGAAACCGAAGCTGCTGTCCCCGACTTCGAGTACGCCAACGACTTGTCCTTTCTCCCTGAGGTCCCTGAAACCTCTGAAGTCGAATACGCCAACGACTTATCATTCCTCGTTGATGCGCCGTCTCCGCCGCGAGCGAAGGGAGTGCGATGGGAAAAGGATGCTAAATGCAAGCCCTTCTACGTCGATACCAAAGTCAGCGAGATGCTCGACTCCACGCTAGAGACGATTACTTCAAGTCCGATCAGGGAATACCACAATGTATTCCAGAACAACGATGGCGGCGCATCAAATGCCAGTCAGGCGTCATCATCTTCTCGTTCGTCAACAGACAGCAGCCCGCAGATAACCCTTCTTGATTCTCCTGCGCAAAATGGTGGCTGGCGCGGTGTCTCCGTTGACGCATTCGACGCACCCGATGAATCGCTCCTGGAGTGCGAGTTCTCGCTGGAACTCCTCGAAGACCTTCAACGGGAAATGCAGAGGAAGCTTGCCTTGGCACCGCCTCCCCCACCGCCACAGAAGCCACTTATTGCGCCGCTCACTCCCGAGGAAGAAGCTGCACTGCAAGACGCCGCAGCCAAGACCAAATACGGCCGCAAGCCAGATTCGTTCGTCATTGAGGACAAGCTATACGCTCGAGACTTTGCGACTCTGTTGCCTCGCGTCTTCAACGGTGATCCCAGGGCATGGTTGAACGACAGCATCGTCAACGAGTATCTTTCTATTCTCATCGCTGCAAAGAAGAAGGAAATGGGCTTCGCTCACCAGCGCAACGGTCCTGCACCGCCCCTTCACGCCTTTTCGTCATTCTGGTACCAGACTGCCGATACTTCTCGCTGGACCAACAGGTTCCAGCTGAAAGGCAAGCAGTACCTCGACGCCGACCTTCTCCTCTATCCCATCTGCGACAGAGGTCACTGGCGTCTGCTCGCGGTTTATCCCCGGGAACGCACTATTGAGTACTTTGACTCTATGGGTCTTGACGGACAAACATACATCGACAAGCTCGTCAAATACCTCGAGCAGGAGCTCGGTGAACACTGGGTTCCTTCGGAGTGGAATAAAGAGACTGGCCAGAGGAGTGAGCAACAGAAGAACGGAAGCGATTGCGGTGTCTTCACTCTCCTGAACGCTTTGACCCTCATCCGCGGCGACGCTCCCACTCGTGTCCTTTCTACCGACGGCATGGACGATGCACGCAAGCGCATCGCAACCACTCTGCTGGCCGGCCATCCTACCACCGAGCTGGAATGAGTACAACTCTTCCATTCTTCATTCGAACACACGGATTCTCTTTTCGCATTGTTTTTGGCGCACAGCATGCAGTTCAGTCGCTTACGAGGTTTTTCACGACGGTTACATTACGACCCTGATACCCCATGATACCCCCCCACCGCCCATAGAGGCTTGAGTTTTTGCATAGTTGGAGTTCTGTTTTTTGGTACCCTGGTAGTTGTCCAGAGGTCTGTTTGGCGAGCTGTTTGGTCTTGTTTGTACCTTGGTAGTTGCCTCGGGGTCTTTTGTTTGCGGAGCACGTGGTACGCTCGTCTGTTTATACAGCGAGAGGCTCAGTTTCTTTTCTTGCGGAGCACGTGGTACGCTCGTCTGTTTATACAGCGAGAGGCTCAATTTCTTTTCCTAGCAGGGCACGTGGTACGCTCGTCTGGTCATCCAGCGAGAGGCTCTTGTATTTGTTTTCTTTCTTGTAGCTAGTTCTTTACTCTTGCCTTAGTCCTCCTGGTTTGAGACCTTGACTCACCCCTTCGGGGGTTCGAGTTGGTCTCGCCGGGGGGACGGGCAGGTTCTGGTTAGCCAACGAGAGGCACAGTTTTGTTATAGCATAGCGTAGTGTTTGCAGTAAATTAGACTGTACTATATACTCCATGTCGCATGCTCTATGATGCAACCTTGACAGTGAGCTTACCAAAGTGCTTCTGGTCCCACATGTACTGGTAGGCGTCCTTGAGATCCTTGAGCTCAAACACCTTCTCGTCAACAATAGGGTGCAGGTCATTTGCCTCAATTGCCTTGCACATATCCTCCATCTGCAGTCTTGAACCGACCAATACACCACGCACAGTGCAGATGTTGTTAAGGCAATCGAGGAACGTAGGCTGGTCCTTTCCGCCGCCGCCAATGAAACCGATAATGGAGATGACGCCGTCGATGGCAATGGCCTTGAGAGACTGCGCCATGGTGGTCGGGCCGCCAACCTCGACAACGTGCTGTACACCAGCGCCGTTGGGAGTGAGCTTCGCAGCTTCCTCACCCCAGTTGGTCGTCTCCTTGTAGTTGATGACGTGGTCGGCACCATACTTCTTCAAGAGGTCGGCCTTTTGTGCGGAACTGGTTGTCGCAATGACGCGGGCGCCAGCTGCCTTTGCGAATTGCAGAGCGAAGATGGATACACCACCGGTACCTTGTGTGAGGACTGTGTCACCAGGCTTGAGAGCGCGTGACTCCAGACCGTATAGGGCGTTCCAAGCTGTGAGGGCGGCGCATGAGAGGGTAGAGGCCTCGAGCATGTTCAGGTTGGAGGGGGCCGCAACGAGACCAGCTTCGTCGAAAACGCCGTACTCTCGCAGAGTACCGTCGATGGCGCCTCCGAGACCGGTGCCGATAGATTGTGCGTCTAGGGAGCCGGCGATGTGACCTTGGTTGAAGAGGGTGACTACTTTGTCTGGGTGATGTTAGAAGGCTACATGCATCGTTTCAGTGTGTGTAGGGATACGAACCTCCAGGCTTGAAGCGTGTGACGCGCTTGCCGACCGATTCTACAGTGCCGGCGCCATCCGAGCCAGGCACAGTGTTGTCCTTCATCGGGAAGGGGTATTTGCCCATGGGAATGATAAGGTCGCGGTAGTTCAATGATGCGGCGTGGACTGTCCATTGGTCAGTATTATTGCTGGAGGCTATCCGATGAGCTCTACGCACCCTTGACTAGAACGTCCTTGTCGCCTATCTCAGGTACCTTGGCCTGCTCATTGAACTTGAGAGAGTTAAAGCCATCCTGGCCTTGAACGGTCCATGCCTTTGTCGTTGATGGTGCCATGTTGTATTTGATTGTGTGTGTGAGTGTTTGCTATTGGGAATTCGAAGGAGCTACAAAAGACCTTTGAACCTTTTATGACGTCTCTGCCATGACGGTGCCTGCTCCTTATGTACTGCCATGTGCATGTGGGGTCGTCGAAGGTCCGAATAGTGACGCAAGAATAACAAGAGCTAGCCCGCGTTCACGTCACAGCTTGTAGCTCCCCTGTAACTGCGGCTATCATGGATCATTAGCTTCTTGGACTGTTGGTGATCAGTCTGGCTGCCCAGAGAAGACCCAATGGCGGCGTTATGGCCATAATCTTAAAGGCGAACTGCCGGTCTGGAAGACGAGTTTGTCAGGATGGCTGACCGATGCTCTGCTTGCCTTGCCGGGAATTGCTCGGATCTTCGGAAAACGTGCAGTTTAGAGCCTGGGGCTGCGCGCAACATGGCAGATGTCGGCAAAGGTCGCTGGAACCGCATTTGTAAGCTCTGGGTAGGCGGAGTGGGTCCGATGGAGAAACGCGAGGATGTCGCGTGGCTTCGCGCCTACTCATGCCCCGCACCGTCTTCTACTGCCTTCTACCAAGGGATTCGTCTTTCTGAGGCACCCTACTATACTACCTTCGGAAAGATGATAGGCGGTATAGGCTGTAACATCGAATGCGGTAGATGTCTCTTGCGTAGCTTCCTTTTGTCATACTTACAGTTTGTAAGAGCGAGCACCTCCGCACGCGCGATTTGATCGTTGGTCCACGTCAACCTAATAAAAAAGAACATCCTTGAGCCTACGTTGCCGTTAGGTCACCTACGTTGCAAGCTTTTGTCTTGATGTAGCCCGCAGACCTGTTCAGGTTTTTTGTGTATGAGGTGGGTCTACATCGCCAGCTACCAAGTGTCTCCAGCTTCCAGCCAGCCACCTGCAGTCGCGCTTAGTGCGACGATGGTTTACCAATAGGCAGTCCTTCCTGTGTTGCGCGCCGCCTACGCCTCATCTCGGTTCCCCAGAATAGACCACACCTGGGGGAGCGATGATGGAGAAGTGGGGGCTCAGTCCCGGGCACGATGCTTTCTCCATCCCGATCGTCCTTGAGATAGTTGCATGCGACAGCATCGGCATTCATCGAGCCTTCCGGACGCCCTCCTCTTATTGTCGTGCTGCATACGCCCACAGTATTGCATGTGCAACACCCCGCTGAACGCTAGCACTATGGTGTTTCCCTGATGACCTTGGGCCGCGTCGCAACCATCCTCGACTCACAACGTTGCGATAACGATGGCTTCTCGAGGAATTCAGTCGGCTTATTCCTCACGGGATGTTTCACCGGAATCGCGTCCTGAACCCTACGATCCCTTCCGCACAGAATCCGATCCCATCGAGCTCTCATACCTATCACGGCTGTCTTTAGATGGTGGAGAGGCACACATACCTCACGCACGATCCTTAGGTCAGTCTCAAGATGAGAACACAAAAAGTGGTTTGCGGGCGGGAGCCTACCTGGGCCTGCCACACGGTGACAGCCGGTATGAGCCGGTGCGTGGAGAACACGATATCTCGGGTCACTCCATACGCTCAGCGAGAGAGTCTACGTATACTTTGAACTCGCTCTATCATAAGAAGACCATGGATGCAGATACCCAAGCTCTCGTCGACAGGAGATCTGGCGAATTGGTCCAATGGCACATATATTGGACAACACCGGCTCTCATAGTCGCATTGTTCATGGCAGGGTTTGCGGCGGCATTGGGCCATCACTTGTTTTACATGCATCTCAATGGGAAGCCGGCCACCGAGCAACTGAAGATGGTGCGATATGGTACAGCCTTGGCCTTCTTTGTGAAAAGTACACTGGTTGGAACTGTCATTATGTGCAACCGTCAGCGCATATGGTATACCTTCCGACGAAAGGCGATGACGATCAATGGTATTGATGGCCTGTTCTCTGCAACGGAAGATCCGACGCAGTTTTTCCTCAACTGGGAGATGATCAGAAACGGCAAGCTTGCTACGCTCATGGCAGCCTGTACCTGGGCAAGTCTCCAATACTTCCACAAAAAATCTGTGCTGACCTACCCAAGTTACTACCACTTGCATCCGTCCTGTCCCCAGCCTCACTAACATCTGAGCTAAGAACGTTCAACAATACAGCCAGTTGCTCTGTAGCTACCCTAAATTTCACCCAGGAGTCTACATACGACTTTCGGGACATGAGTAAATTTTGGCAGAAGAGCTTGAATTTCTATAACACCACTGAGCCAGCCGAAGAGGAAAGGAGAGATGTAGAAGACGATTCCGCGACAACGGGTACAGGAAGCTTCTTCGACTACTACGATCAGCCGTCAAAGAACGCGCGCCGCTTGGCATTCAGTAGCGTGTACATGCAGAAGCCACAGCCTCGCGAAAACGCTTCTACCGTATTTTGCGGATCGGGCTGGAATTGTACATACACCATAAGCTTCGTGGGACCCGGCTACCAGTGCGAGGATGTCGAGAACACTGATGAATCCAACGCGCCATTCGCATTGTCTGAACTGGCGCCGAATGGAAGCCTTGTATATAATGCTGATGTTGATCAAGGTAATTACGGGTATCAAGATCCAGCGAATGGTACAGGGTCTTTAGGCGTATTCGAGAACGAACCAAATCTCTGGATTGGCTACGCCATCAATACCTCCAAGCCGTACTCGCACGATGCGGAACCGGAGTACACGGCCAAATGGGGAAATGTACATGGTAAGTACTGGCTGTGCGAACCACGTGTAAGAGATACACCTCATACAAGAAAAAAGCTGAATAGGTCTAGAGCCTACATCAATGCCAGGTCACCTATCTTATAGGCTTTCATGTCGATGTAGGCTGCAGGCCTGTTTGGGTTTTTCTTGGTTGATATACTGACTTGTTACGTCCGTCTCTACAGAGCCCAAGACATTCAAATGCGTCATGCAGTACACCAAATACACGTTCAACATGAGCTACAATCCCAGACAATCCGCAACCCGCTGGAAACGAGAATTCCTGCGTCCAGTCATCGAAGGGTAAAGTAGCCGTCACGAATAGCTGTCAAGATATCTTACTAACTTATTACTAGTATGTAGGCCCCTTGCTATACTTTGCCAACGCGGTTCTAAGACATCTTATTATTCGTGCTAACAGCTTGATAGACCGTCCCATCGAACCTCAGAAGAATGCCGAAGAATACAAAGTAACGGCTTCCTTTCATACTCTGGGTACCCTCCTACGACGCTTCCTGCGTGGCAAGATCGAAAAGCAGAAGATCCTCATAACCTACTCAGATCTATCTGAGACGCGTTTAGTCAACAGCAGCACCTCGTACCCGTTGGTAGACCTAAAGACAGAGATACAAGACCTTTTCGAAGATATCCTCATCACACTTCTCAACGACCCGAATCTAGTCGTAGTCCAGACTCAAGAAGTGCCCTGCACAAAGTCACGAACCATGATGGTATACGTATATTACAAGCACTCTCTTTGGATCGGCTACGCAATCGTCATCGCAATCACTTTCGCTTTCATCCTGGTCGGCGCGTGGTCGCTCCACATGAACGGGGTAGCGTCCGATGTGCTCTTCTCTCGCATCATGGCTACCACCCGCAATCCTACGCTGGATCACCTGAGCGTTGGGGCGTGCTTGGGTGGGGACCCGTTCCCTAAGGAGCTGGCGAAGACGAAACTACGCTTCGGTGTGCTCCTTGAGGATGATCCTAGGGAGGGGCCTTTGGGCAAGGTGGAGCATTGCTGCTTTGGCACTATGGGTGAGACGAAGGAGATTGTCAAAGGTGGCACGTATGCGGGACTGAAGGAGTATAGGGTCGATGCATGAATGATTAGGCATTTATGACTCTATGATGTAAGCTGCCGTGGGTAGCACTAAAAGAATTCGCCAAATTTGATGAGTATCCCGCCTACCCATCCGATCTCCAATAAAACTATGACAGAGAGGGGTTCACAATCCCAGAAAAGAGTACACTGGATTGTAAACCCCTCACTCTCATAGTTCTATGGGAGATCGGATAGGTAGCCTGATTAATATGGAAGCGAATTACTGTGCACCGTGTACCTCCTTCATACCGTGAAATATTGCTTACTATTTCTCAATCACCACTGTGTAGCTCCAGGCTACCAGAAGATCCTTCCTGGCATTGTTCAACCACCATCTCACACTACATGGGTAGGCTCGACTTCTAAAGAAAGAAGGAATCCTGAGACCATCCACCGGAGTCACCAAGACCAGCCGGTTGTGTCGGCATATGTACAGCGAATGAAACGTAACATAATTGTGGCCCGGAGCAATTACGACTGCTGACCCATACCCAGGCCTAAGAACTCGAATAGAATAGGGTTACCCGCAACAGCGATATACGCAATACCTGATCATGATTAGTCGTCGATCTATTTTTGATAGCGTATAACATACCCGTGTACACAATTAACTTCGTGACGACCTCAACATCATAGCGCACTCGTGGTGTCGTAAGCTTCATGAAGATCTCCCGCTTCTCGTTCTCCTCCTCGGTTGGGCTTTGTGTGAGCGTGTGGACATCGCCAGCGACGTCTGTATCGCTCCTCGGGGGAGTAGACGTGTTTTTCTCATTTACATGCACTTCACCTGTGCCCATCATCTGCTCGTACGAGTGTACCCTGGATGCCATGGGTGTAGGCAGGAGACCCACGCCAAGTAGAGGTTCCCCCTTCTCGATGTTGGGTGTATCAAGGACCGCGGGGCCGGGTATCCAAGCGGAGTCTTCGGGTACCGTACCATCTAGTGAGTTAACACTTTCCCGTCGTCGGCGATTTCGGTAAGCAAGCGTCTCGTACGCATCGGCAGCAGACTGTGGCCCAACGGATACAGACCGCTTACGTGGGTGGGCGAGGTTCTTCAGCATATGTGGCAACTCTGATGCAGGTGGAATGACGTTGTCATCATCAGCGAAAGGCTTAATGGACTTGTACTTGGACGCGTTGAGGAAGAAGGCGCGAGGCATGTTCCAACGGGCCTGCTCTAGGAGACGGAAAATGGGTGGCAGGATAGTAAACAAGGCAGGCTTCATGGTCGCTCTCCAGACGAAGATTACTACAACACCGAGTAGAATGCGAATTGCTGCCTTTAGCAGACCCATCTCTTCCAGATCGAATGGAACAGATGAGGGGTATGCATCTTTCAATGCATAGCCGGTCTGCGCGTAATGCCATGCACCCAGATTGATCCCAATAACCACGCCGGAGAAGGATACGCTATCGTCGTAGCATGGACAATCGTCGGCAGGCTCCGGATGGATGCGGACGAGAACGCACACGACCAAAGTTGCGATGAGGATGTCCATGTAACTGCCACTGAAGACGAACGAGTCCATCCAGTCCCCGCAGACCAATTGGAATGCCGTGATCAAGGCACCCATTATACTTCCGACCAGGACATCCAGAAACCCGTGCATGCCGCAATACAAGCGCCCCGCAATGATCGAGAGCGCGTAGAAGTAGAACAGCGCCTGTAAGCCCGCATTCCAGTTTGAATTATCTTGCTCGGCCGACTGGCGCAACGTGTATATGGCATAGAAGGCGACCGAAACCGCGTTGGCAGAGTGCGACGAGGGGAAGCCGTATTCGAGCGCAGCGGACCCAGACATGGATATACGGGCAAGTGGGGGTGATAAGGGCCTGGGCAAGCAGAGCATGTCCTTGAGGAAGCCCGTTCCGTACACACCAGCTGCAAGCATGAAGACAGTTCTATGTACGTCAGACGTCGCACGATAGTGAGAGACAGCTTCTGACATACGCTCGGCCAATGCTAGTGTAGCCGCACCAGAACTGGATGGGCAGGAACACCATGAAGAAGGTATGTGTGCCGAGGTTGGCGGTATAGGCGAAGTAGGAATCGAGGGCGGGCGAGCGCACTTTGTCCTGCATCAGGGCGAGCCAGGGCGTCTCCCAGCGCACAATGGGTATGAGGCGGTTGCGCAGGGCATTGCGCCATCTGGGCAGGCGTTGGGCATAGTGATCGTGGCCCTTGTTGCCCGCGTCCAATTTGGGCTCCGTGGTCGCTGCGGTGTCTTTGGGCGCATCATGTCGCGGACTCATGGCAGCGGTCGCAGAAAGGGGGTGGGCGAGTTAATCGAACGTGCATGTCCAGCGGCAGCGATAGCGTCGTGGAGTAAGACGAGGCTGTGGGCTTGGATGCATGCCATCGATCGATAGACATGGACAGGCACGTTGCGACTTGGCGCTAGTTTAGCGAGCCGCTGGAGACGTAGCGTGGTTGCCATATGCGACCGAGCCCTCTAACAGTCAACATCCACCTCTCTTAAGCCTCGACCACTCGCTCCCCACACCAACTCCAACACCATCTTCCTTCTCCGTATTGATAACCTCGTCTGAAACAGGACACGACTACACATCCCGCACACTTCCAAACATGGCCACCGCACCTTCCCAGAACTACGACTATCTCCGGCGCAAGCAGAGCACAAAGGCGGCCGTTTCATCAATCACACCAGTCCGCAGCCACGCCCGCACACCGAGCGAGCGCAACAGCAATGGCACCGTCAGCTCATATGGAACCACCAACACGCGCGACACAGCCATCACCGAACCACCAGCCTACTCCAAGAAGCTCGTTGTTGTCGGTGACGGTGGATGCGGAAAGACATGTTTGTTGATCAGTTACAGCTCCGGCAACTTCCCAGAGGTACGCACCACCAGCTAAAAAGACATGTCATGTGATTCTAATGCGACTGCAGAAATATGTACCAACGGTCTTTGAGAACTACATCACTCACACTCCTCATCCTCCCACAGGCAAGATGGTCGAACTTGCGCTGTGGGATACCGCTGGACAAGAGGAGTACGACAGGTTGCGACCGCTCTCCTACCCAGAGACAGATGTCATTTTCGTCTGCTTTGCGATTGACTGCCCCAACTCACTAGAAAACGTCATGGACAAGGTACGATATCTCGATCCATATACCTCGTACATCAGCTGACAGCATCCAGTGGTACCCAGAAGTTCTCCACTTCTGCCCAACAACGCCCCTCATGCTGTTGGGCCTCAAGTCCGACTTGCGCAACAAGAAGAACTGCATCGAGTTACTCAAGACACAAGGCCTGACGCCCGTCACATCAGAGCAAGGACGTGCGGTTGCGAAGAAGATGGGCGCTGCCTACATGGAGTGCAGTAGTAAAGAGCAAGACGGTGTAGAGGAGATCTTCGACATGGCCGTCACAATGGCCGTCGGCGAGGAGCACAAGGAGCAAGAAGAGCGCCGCGTCGGCACAGCGACCTCGTCAAGAGGGAACACGTCGTCGTTCCCTGCTGGGGGCGGTAAGAAGAAGAAGCGCAGCGGCTGCAAGGTCCTATAGTTTGTTTGTGTCTATCGAGAGGAGAGCATATCGAGATTCACGACGCTGGACGACACGATCAAGATGTTTAATGACATACGGCTCACCTCCACCACTGTCCCGGACATGTTCGCTTCCTCTTAATCCTAGGGAAGTCTTTACATGTACATGGCCGCCTGGCGTTTGGGTTTCTTTTTGGCATGAGAATGGACGCAGCGATTCCATAGTCCACAGTAGCAGCATTTTCTTTCCTGTATCTGTATTCGGTATTCTGTATGTATGCATGGCGCGAGTGGGCGATCAAATTTGCCTGCGCCGGGGAAGTAAATCAAACATATTTCTGAAACCTGTTTTCTCCAAATTGATCGTCGCTAGCCGATGACAGAACTCGTGTCGTTGACCGCCTTCATATATGCTTTCGCCCAAATGTACATGGCACGTGGAATGGTGCATACCTTAGTCTCAAGTTTCATACACACGGTGTATCTTCTGTGTAAAGGTATAATACAACGTGAAGTCTGCGATCCCCTGGTGTCGCGCACTGTGCCAATGACTCGCTCTGGGGTATCATTACATCATAACCATTATCGCCATGGTCTGTTCGACGGCTGGCCGTGCACCTCCGGGCGCGTTGTTGTTTATCGCAAGCTAACAAGGTTACCTCCCTGCCACCGCTCATTTCCTTTCCTGAGGCACTTCCGTCTCGCCTTCATGTTCCGTTGCGCCCTCCTGTGGTCCTTCTTGTTGCTCACTCGGATCCTTGGCCATGACGTTCTCAAAGTGACTCCATAGCGACTCGACGGGTGCGAACTCGTTGCCGACGGATGTGACTTCTTCGAGCGAACGGTTTAGCTTGTTGATGTTTTGTAGGACGACTTCTAGACTCTGGCCGTTGGTTAGTATAAACCGGTGTAGAAGCTGGGACTTGGAGGGCTGCGGTGCGCTCCGTGGTGGATGGGTTGGGTGCACGTACTTGGGCAATTTCAGTGACGAGCATTTCGCGCTGTTGTTCGTAGTATGTTTTTGGCGGCGCGCTATCCTGGCCGTTGGTCGACGCGGGGAAGTATGGCGGTGCCATATTTCCGTGTTCTTTCGTGTTGATGCTCTGCGCGCGGGACTTGGGACGCGGGAGCCGTGTCGTGCTTTAAACTCCGGGTCAGCTGACGCGCTAGTAGTCTTAGGTGAGCCAGACCGCTCTCAAACTCGACTTCACCTCACTCAAGCAATGATATCAACACCTACCTACCCAGAGAAAGTAGACGACCTAGGAGTCTACATCACCTCTATACTTCTCTATCCTCCTATTCTATACTAATGTATACCTCAGCGCACATATTCAGTCTCTCCCTATCATGAGGTGACCCAAACATGGCCCAGAATCGACGATCTTCCTCACTCGTGCAGCAAGCTGCACCAAGCAATGAGAAACGTTCGCGACCTTACATCAGCCACTCCCACCCCTGGAATCATCCCAGTTGCGTTCCCGTA